AAAATATGATGCCAAAAGACTGCAGATCTCCCATTTAGATGACCGGTCGGTCATATGACCGGCAGATGTCTCGTAGGATTCCCAGAGAGTTTTGCTTTACATAGAAATTTGTGCTCTTTTATTTTCATTTTGACTCACTTCAGTGTTGGTTCCTTTAATTCAAGTTGGCATTCGGTTTTTGGAATTTAAATAAGTTCTCAGCAAAAAAGTTTGTTTAAAAAAATACATATGTGTACATAGTGCTTGAAAATATAAATTTTTCCCTTACCTTAAACTTTTGAGAGTGGGCAAAAATCATGTTTTGTAATTTAGGCAGAATTGAATATGCGCTATCTGGGAAGACAATATCTACATGTAATATTTATTCTGTTTGTTGGCACTATATCCAAACACAAACACATCTTAAGTGTATTAACAGTGAAACAATTTCTTATTTTCTAAGTTTGCGAATAAAACTTCACACTTAAGATTAAGACATTTATAACAAACATTTTATCAAGAAAATCCCTTCTTCGTTTAAAATAAAAATAAGCGAAATCGGACCAATTTCATACAACCCTGCCTGACATGAAAATTTTCTCTACTAGCCTTAGCCATTTCTAACAGATTTTGGGTCGCTTAGTCAAAAATAGAAACATATATACATATTTGAAATTTAAGAAAACAAGGCAAATAGCAAAATCGGCTAAAAACGGCTAATTTTTTTCTGCAAAACGGCTAACAAATCGGCTGCCGGCTAAATCGAAATTTCTCCGGCTGTTTGCTATCGCAACCGGCTAAATCTAGCCGGAAAACGGCTAAAATGGCAACACTGACCAAGATTCGTTAAGATATCTTAATTTTTATTCGAGTTGTCGTGTGCACAGACGGACGGACAGACAGTCATCGCTTAATCAATTTATTTTTTCATTCTGACCATTTATGTATACAAAAAAAGAAGAGCGTAAGAACGAGAGAGAGAGCTGTTAGTTTCTGCTAGTTTTTTGGGTTAGGAAACCTTTCCTGCAGAAACTAGTTATAATTATTTGTAAAGAAACAAAGCTAATGCTTGCTGTCAAATTTTTCACTAGCCCTGCCGGATAACAATTTTTATTCACCTCATAGCTGTCAAAAATTTACTATTCAGAGTACTTTTCTATCAATTGGCACAGGCCCTATAACGGTGAATTTCATTTTGTACGCGAAATTGATACGGAATTGTTTATACGCATATTTTCTTGGTTTTTTTTAAATTAAAATGGCTGGTAAGTAATTATCGTTTATCATAATTGCCCACAACTGTAACTCTTATATTTCTAGATGAACGTCCTTCCACAAGCGCCAGCGCAAGGAATTCGCAACAAGGCGAATGGAATTTTGCGCGTTTTGTACTCGAATTGAGTACCCATGACCAGGGGAGACAATTTTCAGAGGAGCATGGGTTGATACCACTTACTATGCTGTGCCCCATTCATAAGGTTCTTATGAACAGGCGAAATTCCGGAAAATTTGGGTTGTTTATGTGCCGGCGTGGAAACTGCGCCAAAAGGGCTAGCGTTTCGGTAGCGAAAGGGACGTGGTTTG